CCCCCCCCCATAGAAAACAAAACAAAACAAAACAAAACAAAACAAAACAAAAAACGGATAACCACAAAGTTCTTCCATATTTCTCTCATAGTGTGCGCCTGTGAACAAAAAATCGCTCCTCTCCACGTTTCATTAAGCACTAGAAAGGCTTCCTCATAGATTTCCAATTTCCGGAATAGATGCCAAATTCATTTGGCGCTTTGCCAAGCCCACGCAACACCCGAGTAAGGACATTCCACAACTCCAGTATTAGCACATTAGGCCCCAGATTTCAGAATATGAACGATATAGCCAGATATAGCATTTTGTTGTCACGACACATTAACCTGCATTTAAGAAAAGGGCCTTTACCGTGGTTTTGCAAAATTTTTGCTTCTTTTCGTAAGCGGAATTGAAGTCAGCATCACCAAAGTTGTCCTTCCGCACGGCCGTTCGTCACGAAGAAAAGCGGCGAGATTGCGCCACAGACGAGAACTCAGAGTGTGTCGGGTTTCAATAGGAGAATCTAGCAGTTTTTGCATATTAAATTATCGATTTTCCTCTCCTCCGTGGCGATTCGGCCACTCCCGTTGAGTTGATTCCATTACCGTGGCGTTGCCGCCATGGGGGGAAACGAGGTGGTTTAGGGGGAGATGGGGAGGGTGGGGGTGGGGGGTGGGGTATTCTGTGTGCACCGAGAGCAACTCAAAAAGATGAAATAAGACGTGGAGAGCGGTGATCCGGAAGTAAATGTGTGTACATCATGGACAGAGAGATTCTAAATAAAAGCTGCCCGCAGGGTGGGATTTTCACGTAAGGTTCTTTGTTCTATAGTAACAGCATTGTGCTTGAATTCAAAACAATTACTTAATCATTTGCACTCCGCAACTGATGTGTTTTTAGGGTAGTCTATTTTACCACATTGCACCATCAAAGGCAGCCTTCAAAGAGATACAGGCAAGAGCACTGGTTGCAAGTCACGATGCATTAATAAATAACGTGAAAAAAAAATAGGCATGTCATGTCACCATTCGAACTTTGGAGGAAAATAAAGCTATCAATGTGACCAAACGTATCCCTGAAAAATTGATTGTTCAAGTTAAGTGGATTTTTTTCAGTTGCACTAATTTGGCAATCAGTCCGTGGGAAACAGTTAAGGACCACGGAGGTAACTTTTGTCAGGAATGCTAAAACCCCACAGGCACCCCCCCAAACAAACAAACAACAAACAAACAAACTAACTAACAAACTAACAAATAACCAAACAAACCCAACGAAACCATCCCCAACATAATTGAGAACTTTGGAGATCTCAAAATGAGTAGGCAATTAGCTGAAACTGCTTGCTTTAGGCACATTTTTGTGGACATCTACTTTGCTGGAAAGAATTCATGAATAGAAATAAGGATTGTAATCGATTTCAAGCGGTGTAATTTTGTCATCTCTGCCAAATATAGCTTTTTATTTAACGTGCATTTCACCTCGATGCCCTTCAATAGCTCTTCACTCCAAAATGCCAATGGACATTTCCAGTTTTACAATTGAACTTGATTTCAAAGCGTGAGGTAGAAACTTAAGTGTCAATGCACTTTGTAAACACTCACAGACTCACACACACAGACACACACACAGACACACACACATACACACACAAAAGAGAGAGAGAGAGAGAGAGAGAGAGAGAGAGAGAGAGAGAGAGAGAGAGAGAGAGAGAGACTAAAGTCGGTGTACGTTCCTTTACTATGCCGTGCCCTGCAAACATTTGGTGACTCAAGATAAATCCTAAAGGTCCAGCACGCACTAGCAAAAAATTCGCACCTAGCTAGTCCGGTTTGTTATTTCTAATAACGGGTATCCATTGCGGATGGGATTGGGTCGGGTTGGATTGATCACCCTATCGGTTTGTGCCTCGATAGCCGTTTTGCGGCCTCAGGCTAGCGAGCAAACCGTTAAACCTATACGAATTCACATGTATCTAAGGAGAGTAAAGATGAGAAAGCTCGGGAGGAGAAATGAAAGGATTGGAGAAGGACGAGGGAAAATTAGAAAAATGGGCGACAAAATAATGAAATGACATTTCGGAGATAGTGGACACTGTGTAGAAGGAACTTTGGACGGAAATAAAACACATGAAAAAGATTGAGAGAAGAGATAGAGTGAACGAAGAAGAGTAGGACGCATAAAAAGGAGGAAAAGGAGTGATGTAGTAAAAGAAGAGCAGAGGAAGGCGAACATTAGAAGAAGTGAGAGGTGTAAGGGAAGGGCAAATAAGGGAGCGGTAAAGAAGATAAAGATTTACAAAATTAAATACAATAGAGGAGGAGAAGAGGAGGAGGAAGAGAAAGAGGAGGGGACGGGAAAGGAAACGGTGGGGTGGGGCGGGGAGGGAATGGGGTAGAGGGAAGGCAGGGATGAGGAGGGGGAAAAGATGGAAAAGAGAGAGCAAGGATAGATGAAAGAAAAGAAGAAAAAGAAGAAAAAAGAAAAGAGTATTCAATAGAAAAAGAGGCAAAAATACAAGACTGTAAATCTGTCAAACACGCGAGTCCTTATCGACTTTCACGTCACCACATCCTCCTCAGAGTAGACCGGCAAAGTTCTGTCTTGAGCGCGGTGACGTAAATGATTTGGCGCTCTGCCCTGAGGCTGCCGGGAAATTGTATCGGACCACGATTTATCGCGGTCCGCGCTGATGATTTATCCTGGCATTTGCTGATGGCGCATCGCCGGGCAAAATACATGGCTGACCAATACGTCCGTCTCATAAGTTTGGCTCGTACATCAAAACGTCTCGCTTTGGCTGGCCGCGTACATTTGTACCGAGCATGGGCACACGTACACATACACACTCATGTACGCACACTGTCGTGTAGAGACATGTACATAACAAATACTCAAAATCATAATATGTATACGATGATGACCTACATAACTGCGCACGCGAGTGCACGCACGCTCACACATGCGCACGCACACACACAGACACACACCCACCCACACACACACACACACACACACACACACACA